CGTCATTTAAACTTTGGAATGCGATTACCCGAGCCGCAATGAATATTTTAGTTGGTATTTCCGTATTGTTACAATGACTTCATTCCAACAGCAGCAGCCCATTCTGGTCGAACATACAGAAATCAGATGGTGTATTATTTTTTCTCTTCTTTGTCGTCGTCTTGAATCTGCATTAGTCATACGCTGTTTGAATGATGAACGTCAGAATAAAACCCGTTTGACGACGCACACGAAAAACGGTACGAGTGTATGATCGGAGAGAAAACCGCCAAAAGCATATTCTGCACTTCGCGCTACATTCACAGCATTTTACTTGCACATGCATTGAAAATGCATGAATGCTGGACAAATCACCACAGAATACTTTCGACATCTCTCATGTTCATGTTCTCATCTGTAGAGAATTTTTTTGTTTTTTCATCTATCTCTCTATATCTGCCTCCCTGTCTATCACCCGCTCATATTTGCTATTTTTCGCTGAATAGGTCTTTCTACTCTGGCTATCATGATCCTAACTTGCCCATTTTTTCTCATTGATTCGATCCATCAATCCGCTCGCTTTTGTCCCCTCTCCCTCTACCACCCTCTCTCTCAATCCTCTTGCTGATTATTACGGATCTGGTTCCCCTTTCCTATTTCGAGCCATCAAATCGTGAGAATGACCCAATCACAGGTTTTATGTTGTCTAAACCTCGTCCAAAGCATATGTTCTATATTTGGGATTAACGAAGGATTTACTCCATAATTATCGGGCTAGTATGAAGTGCATATAGTGGGTATTGTTGTTCTGTACATTTGTTGCAGTCGGCCCTATGTGAGTGCGTCACGTCACAAATTGCACATAAATTCGGTATATCATTGCGCCCCGGCTAAATGGAAAGTTGTTCATGACCATCGCAAAATCATGATTCATGAGCGTAAATTTCAATTTTTTTTTCTTTCTCTATCTCTCTCTCTTTCTCTCACCATTTTCCATTTGAGTTCGGATGTCAAGCGTGTGCTGACATCAACATTCGCTTAACTCTCTATGTGCGCGCTCGCAGTAAAATCATCATCCGATTTAAATCAGTTGACCCAGTGTAATTATACGATTTTTTTTTTATCAGACGACTGTGTGACGCATTTTTTCGTTCGTTCATTCGTTCTGTTTGACTTGCCTCTCTCCATAGAAAATTCGCACTCGAGCATAGTAAGCGTCGACACTAAGAACGGTTGGTCTGACGCTCTGTGTGTACAGTATAAGGCAAAACAACACTACTACATGCGCGCGTTGCTTCATCAAAAACAGTTCGTTATAGTGGCCGCGCTCGAAGAGTGTGCAAATGAGAAATAATACATACGTACGACGCTCATCTGACACCTCGTCACACAGATCATTCTCATATAAGAGCGCCGCATGTATGTATTATTTCACACTCTTCAAGCGCGGCCACTATAAGGAACTGTGTGTGACGAAGCGTCGCGCGCATGTAGTAGTGTCGTTCTGCCTTATACTGTACACACAGAGCGTCAGACCAACCGTTCTTAGTGTCGACGCTTACTATGCTCGAGTGCGAATTTTCTATGGAGTCTCTGGTTGTTTTGGAATAACATATCTGTCTAATGAATGCTTCCGATATTATATACATGTAAATGTAAATTGAATTATATAGTCAAGATCAAATCCATTGAACATTGAACGAATCGAATTTGGTGTTTTTGTTGTTGCATGCATCAATCGCATTTCCAAATGATCACTTTCGAACCGGCAACCTTACGCTCGATCGGAATCGAGACAAAATCTATCGAAATACATTAAACGAAGTGGGTATTAGCAAAATGGGTAAGAATGATTGTGCGAAAAAGGTTCGGAAACGACAACGTGACCGATGACGATAAACGAAAGAAAAAAATGAATAAAATAAAATATTGTCAAATTAACCGTAAATAATATTCAAAACGAAGCAAAAAAAAACAGAGAAAAAACATTAAAAAGCAATCAATTTATTAGGAAATATGTGGCACTACAAAAAAACAGTCATGTATAGGCTATTAAAGTCGCTAAATGACTATAAAGCATCTCAAATGTTCCAATCATTCTGCTGTTGGCTGACATTTTTGCTGTCGCAATTCGTGTCGTTTTTCCATGCAAAATAGTAACGATAATGTTTTGCTGTGTGTGTGTGCGATTTTTTCTATTTTGCATAATTCTCGCTAGCACACTGATGTTTGTGCTTCTGTCACGGCTATTTAGTATGTTGTTTTATTTGTAAATATTCCGTTTGTGATCGCAATTTTATGGAAGTGCGCGCACGGAATGAAAGTGAATCGGTACATTACATATTTTGTATATAATATATACAAAAGTAGGAACTTTGTACGTAACGTTTAAAATACAAAAAAACCCGCGGCCGTTTCCTGCTTGACCTTATGGCTGTACCTATCACGATCGTCTCCATTTTTATTATAATTACTATCATATCTATTCAGTGGCACCCAATTTCAGCAAAAACGTGCTCGCATTGCGTGCAATTCGTTCGTCATTTTTGGGTATCGCAAATGATCTTTGTTCAAATATTAGAAGTTACTCGCTGAAAATAGGTGTTTACCCAAACTCTTGACAGCTTGTTCGCGTTCACTCGCTCGCCTGCCTTGCGATAGCAACCGAAATTGACTCGATGATCTTGAATTCGAAATCGTCACGCGAATCTATTCGATAGACGCAATGAAGAGCATACACATGTGGCTGGCAGGCAGACAAGCACACCTAAATTAAATGCCTAACGTTCAGTGTCAAAGGCATATCGCGACAATTGAAACTGAATTGTCAGCTGCATGATATTCTATCATCGATGACACAGACACACACGGCTTTCACATTCTCTTCCGCTAGTTTTTCGATTTATCACGGCTATTCATTTCGAGACTAATACGGAATCCTTCTGCCACACACATAAACAAGTGCACACCTAACTGTCAAAAAAAATGAACGGCATGAACAACAAATATTTGCATCTATTTAATTTTGCGAACGAATTGATGAAATATTCGGAACATGAGTCAACATGGACTATGAAATATGCTGATATATTGACGCATTTTAACAGACACAACGAGATTTAATTTCAATTACGCTATTTCGTATGAAAATGATTGATTTTTAAACAGGAAACTTGCGCTGTTTTGTTCTCGATGTTGAAACGATGAATTTTTTTCACGAATTCTTATTCATTCAGCTCATTTTATGCCTAGTTCGATTGGAGGAATGTGAAATTTGCTGTGATTTTGTTGCTCTATTCGCTCGTTTTTTTCATCTATTTTGACTATTTTAGCAATGGATCTCGATTTCTCTGTTTAACCTCATTTTTTTGATTTAAATCAAATTTTTAACATTTTCGGTGCTTTTCTACTGTTTTCGCGCATACATCAACAATAGCTGTTTGAGCGTTCGCATAACAAATAACTCATTGCAGTTTTGAGATATTTTGGCCCGAAAGTAGTTGAAACCGCTATATTCAGTCTAGGTAATATTACTCACTAAAACACATCTACTGGAAAGAGTTCTAGATGGAGTTAGATGTTATATTAATGTCATATTCTCTGAATGCAATTCCCGATTAAATTATTCCGGAAGCCGCTCAAAACGAGTGGTTCAATGATAGTTTTTGGATTTTTCGGGTGAATCTTTTGGGTGTGCCCAAACACAGAATTAATTCCATATAATTAATGCATACTCATGAACGGCCGCCGCGCTCAATAAAGGTCGACCTATAGAAAATTTTCTTTATTTTTTTTTAAATTGTTCATAATTGCCTTAAAATGCCAATAAAAATTAAAAATTCTTTTGATGATGACCGCTATTATTGTTCATGCAAAAGAGCTTTCTACATAACCTTCATCCGCGGAACTGTTGTTCATAGTTCACTGTAATTTAAAGTGTAATTTAATTTTCATGTGGAGAATTATTTTTGTTGATTTATTGCAGTTAATCCGAGGGGGAAATCACTTTTTGAATTACCTTTCAATTATTTTTCAAAACTATCAAATTACTTTTTCTATTACTTTTTGGCACGCTATTACTTTAGTAAATTACGAAAGTAATTAGACGTTTATGTCAAAGTTTGACGTTGTCAAACATTGGTGGTTCAAACGCAATCAAGCCCACACCAAACTATATTTTTCCATTTTCATTTTATCCAAGAATACTTCGGGTATGTGGTTTATGGCGAACAGACATAACCAAACTATGTCCAAGAAGTCTCAATGACATCTACCTAAATTACTTTTTGTACCTCGATTACTTTTTTCGGGAAAAATTACTTCTCTATTATCATAATTACTTGTGACATTTCAATTACTTTTAAGTGATTTCCCCCTCGAGTTAATCACATCAAATAAATGTTGAATTACATATGTCGTGCAATGTCAAAAAGAATGTTACTGGCTGAAATCGTATTTTTATCGTCGTTGTTAAGATTTGTATTGTTTACAAAAGAGAAGGTTTGGCCTTTTTGAGCTATTCAACACAGAAGCAAAAGAAAAAAAGTTAAACCGGCCAATTGTCGCACTTTTATAATATTCCATGACGTCCTCAAAAAAAAAAGAATTAATTGATGTTTGTTATTCTTTGACGAATGAAAAAAAAATTCATAAAGAACAATATGTTCAAGGACCGAAAATAGGTTGACCAATTTGTATCCAACACTCAAAATGCCCATTTTTATCCGGGTAAAAAACAAACATTTGTTTTCTTTCCTTCTCTGAATCACCGCGAGAAGTGTATATATGAGATCACAAGATAAACCGAAAAGTGGTTCAAACCACTCGTCTCGCGGCAAACAACTCTTTGTTGCGAATGAGAATTGTGTTTTTGTCGTCAGTTTGTTGTGCACAAACAAGCTCAAATTCATACCAAATAACAGAACCAATGAAAAAATTAAAACACATATCTACGTACCGTAATTTTCCTGTAAAACATTTTCCACTAATTTTATGCATTTTCTATTTTATGTATTTTCCAGGTGTGTCTGAACTGATTGTTGTTGGCCGGATTGTGTGTATTCTGGCTCCACCTCGAAATTGTAAGTACATTTTATTTTTCAAACGAAAATTTATATGTTGTGCTGAGTGTTGTCAGTTGTTTCGTCGCCGAATGTGCTCGCTCGCTTCAGGGCAAAAAAATAGCAACAACAAGAAAACGGAACGACAGCGCGATACAAAATCAGAACGACAAAACATCGAAAAGAGCAACATGATTGGGTTTTGTTTCAAGGTGTTTTGTGTAGACATACACACCGAAAGGAGAGAAACAAAAAGAACCAAAGCCTGCGGGCTAAATCATTTGTTTGCCATCATTAAAATTGTGGCAAGCATACAGAGCGAGAGTGCGAGAATGTTGTTGCTGCTGCTGCTGCTGCTGCTTTTTCTGATTCAAAACATCGATGCTCATGTTGCAATTTAAAAGATGTCGAAATCTCGAGCGCATTGCAAATGTGCAGAGCAGCAGCACAACGAGTGTATGTACCCTTTGAAATGTGTGAGCGAGGGAATTTTTTTATTCGTTGAAAACTCATTGATTGTATTGCCAATGGATCGTAATAACGAAGCTAAATAGATATTCGTTGAGAATTAAGCACAATAATCAGCTGAAAATTGCATATCGATGGAAATAACAGGCACGAGTCATTGCATTAGCGACCGCAGCATCAGCAGCCAAGCCAAGCCAAGCCATAGCATCATAATATATTTTCTTTTAGGTTATTAGTCCAATTATTTGCACACTCATAAACATTACGTCAATGGGCAAAGCATAGCCGGGGAGCGTGTGTGTATATGGTTCTTGCATGCGATGATGCAACGAACCAGAACCCAGCTGTAATGCGTTCAGTTCGGGGCAATTTGCAGCCAAACAACAAGCAAATGCAACGGCAGCGGCCAGAGTACAAACAACTAAACGATTGATCATTTGACCACATCAAACTTTACCTCGGTTCGATTTTTATCAAACTCCATAATTGCGACTGGTTCGCCTGAACCAATTTCATAACAATCATTTGAACTCAATTTGACAATGAAACACATTGTCTATTGTTCGATTGAATGCAATTTGTGGAAAGGCTGCGGATCGCGGATAAATCCCGGAGTGGGAAACCGCGCAAGCGATTGAATCGCGTGTTTTAAGGCCAACAAAAGCGCTGATGATGGGTCTGTTGAAACATTGCAATTTTCTCCAGCATACTCCAAATCGCCTTTCTTCATGTGATCCGCGCTATGATTTCATGCTGTGTACCTGATTTCACGGGCGCTTTACTCCATTTTCCGAGCAATGCACGCTCTCTCTCTCTCTCTCTCTATTTCTCTCTCTCTCGCTGTGTCCCAACAATTATGCTCATGTTACGGAGATTTCGGATTATACTTTTCCCACAGTTGTTTTGTTGCCTGTTAGCTTGTCATTATTGTGTCCAATATAATAGCTATTTTGCCGTTTGCATCCAGAGTTTACTTTGAATTGAATTCATCAGCACTAAATAAGTTGGTGCGATGGATTTATAAATTGCACGCGTTGCTGTATAAACTCAACGCGTTCAAAACACACTCAACGTGAACAAGAGCAACGCCAGTGCGTATTCACACAAATTTTTTTTTTGCTCATTTCGACGACGTTTGAACATGAAGCATACAATCACTGCTGCAGCTCATGAGCTCATAAGTCATTGCTGTGTTTATGTATGTAAGTTAAAAGAGCACATCTTTGCAACGATTTCGGTTGACGTTTGAGCGGCCAATCGCTTCAATGATATTGAGTGTATTGTGCATTTCCAAAGAATGCTCGTGGCAATGGTCGTTGAGCATTGGATTTGTATTCCGTTGGATGTGTGATCATTTCCAAAATAAATTTTTTTTTCATTAATTGTAGATATGAATTAGAAAAATTTGTTTTGAACGCGTTGAGTTTATACAGCAACGCGTGCGATTTATCTGATAAATCCATCGCACAAACTTATTTAGTGCTGATGAATTCAGATCAAAGTAAACTCTGTTTGCATCGGCTATGCGCGCGATGGCAAACAAAAGATGCTAAAAAGATTGCTTTTCTCACATTCATCTCTCCTGCTCTCTTTCTTCATTTCTCTCGCTAGATCTCTCTATTTCTCTCTCTCTCTTTCGCACGCTTGTTTTTCTCGTCAATTGCGATGCAATTTAGCTCTCATTGCATTTGCTCAAGCCCATTGCATATATAATTTAACACTCACAAAGCCCCATTATAATTCACATCATCTGTGTGTCTTTTTTCAATTCGTTCTCTGCTCAATTCGATTGCCCATCAATTGAATGGCAGACATTTGTGTTTATTTTGTTGGCTCCTTCATTTTATTAATCATGACATTTCGAGCTCAATTATTCAGACTCCTTTTTGCTTCTTTGCCAATTCCACTTTGCAATCATTTTCTATGACTCCATTTGGGTTCGAGCTTTTGCTTGCTTATTTGCTGTTTCGCTGTTGTTTTGTGTGTCAGATGTGCGCAGCGCGCTGCTTCTAGTTTCATTTAGTGTGCTAATGGAACTGATTGAAATGTAAAATCAATTGAGCGCATCTCTTTTATTTGTCGTTGAATCTAAGGCTCTCTTTGAGACACTGACTACTCGTTTCCTTCAACTCTTCCATTGAAAGAATGAATCCGAATCGAGTGGCAAATTGAATAGGGAGAAAGAGCCTAAGAAAGATGGAAAAAATGAGCAAAAAATTCGTGAGATAGAGAGAAAGAGGAACAAGATATACGTCTATATAATTAGATTTAAAAATATGCTTTTACTTCATCGTTGTCACTCGAGTGATGTGTGTGCTCGCGCATTTACTGTATGTACATTAATTTATTTGATAAATATTTGTATTCAGGTTATTATAGTTATTAGCCCCATGTGTTATTGATATCATTCGTGTGGATGCATGATGCAGTCGCATTCATGTACGCGCGTGTGTTTGCCATCTATCAAAGCGGCCTACGATGTGATCGATTGGCGTGTTGACGTCGGTGACAGGTCATTACATAAATGCAAACATACGTTTTTGGATGGATCAGCATTTAAGCATTTCGTATGCAGTAGATATATCCTAGCATATTGACGACGCAAGTCACTGTATAAGCGGCTCAGCATTGATGTTCACAGCTACATCGACTACACACAAACACTGCGCTCTCTGTTTGTGTGTAATCGATGTAGCTGTACACATCAACGCACGCCGCTTATACAGTTACTTGCGTCGTCGATATGCTGGGATATATCCACTGCATACGAGTTGCTGAGATGCTGACACGATCCAATAGCATGAGACTTTTTACGTCACAGAAATGTGTACGTGCTTTACATGTTTATTCATGTTTAAATGATTGAAACTCTAGGGGCATTTCATTCGCATTCGAATACATGATCATTCGTGCACGAATCCTGCATTCGCAAAAAACAGTATAAGTATTTGCATTCGCACCATGTATTCGTACTGCCGCGCGAGCATTCGCGCGACTCCGCATATGAAACGTATTAAAACACTCGCACATGTATTCGTCGCGAATGCGCTCAGTTGCGATGAAGTTTCAAACACAGTCAAACATGTGGAAAGATGTCAGACGTGTTTGAAAAATTACAACGTGCATTAGGTGAACCTCTACCAGAAATTTTACAATTAATTGTCACACATTCTGGATTTGATATAGAAAGCGCATTAGTTACGTTAAGCATTTGCCGTCGCAGGTGTCCGATTTTTTGCAAATTTGTTTCCGTTTGATTACAATTCTTGATTAACTGTGGCAACTGGATAAACAATCGGTGACCCGGTTTAAATTTAAACCTATTCACATTCTCGTATGATGTTTCTTTGAGAATTTCTGGGTTTTCAATGACATAGTTCTCGATATCCATAATAGCATCGTTGTCAATGGACATTAGAGATGATTCATTTTCAAATGCACAGAATTCCAGGATTTTAATAATATCAGCCGGAATTTTTTCATTCAAATATTTTTCTAATTTGAAAATAACATTTTCTAGTCCCTAAAATACAAAACACAACTTAAATTGATATTAAATTTGGATCGAAATAACTATTTACCATTTTGGCGAAATAATGTAAACACTGTAGTTGCAACGATTAACACAACAAATCAATATAGATCTGTCAAGTGCATTCGCATTCGCGCAGCAATATTCGGACGTATTCGCTAATGCGCTGTATAGATACATTAAATGGTTATTCGTACGAATGCGAATATTCGGCACGAATATCAGTATTTGCGAGTGTTTATATTCAAATGCATGGCAAAGTATTCGCGCATTCGTACGAATGACAGTATTCGCATAGAGTGAAATCCCCCTAGTTGAAACTTGCAATTTTGACTACTTTCAGGCGTTGTTGTTGTGTTTTTCAATGCAATTAAGATAGAAACTTTGTGATTACATGTTAGTTCATGAATATTTTCACCAGTTTCGCTCTTGTCACATTCTGTACATTCAGTGTCCATATGAATCAATGTATTTTTGGTTTTTGCTGTCGAATCGTGGATGTTGAGCCATCCAAGAACGTATGTTTGCACAAATGAAAGCCCATTCATTTGGCCCATATTGGAACAATTAATCGTAAAATAGATATAAAGTGCGACCGCGCGCTCGCGCTCACGCTCTTGTTTCGTCCGCATTTCACTGATACTACAATTTTAATAGGGCTAAGCCGCGCAGCGCAGTACAGATTTACCGACATTAAAAATGTAATAGGTAGTAGCATTACGTTAACAAAAATTTCCTGTAATGTTATTACAATTGCAATAGCTATTACCGGTAATGCCAAATGACTGGCACTGTTACAATTGTAACACATTATCCGTAATGCTAAATTTTGGCATTACAATTGTAATAGCATTACTTTGACTCATCGTTACAATATTAATGTGTTACGGCAAAATAAAAATCTGTACAGCGCAGCGCAATACACACACAAATGAAAACCATTTAATAATGAACGTTTGAAACAATCTCAACAATGCTAAATTAGGCGATAGGCATGCATGTGAACGAGAAACCTCATGAC